AATTTAAGATTTTGTCTACTCACCTTCCTGGAGCATTTCAGATCAGGTTAGTCTGAAACTGTCCTGAAACATAATTCTCACATCTTTGGCATGACTATACTTAGTCTGTTGGATTCATTGCCAATGTTTATTTCTAATGTTGCATTGACCAGGGCCAAAGTGATAGTACAGTGAGTAGAGTATTTGCCTTGAACGTGGCTGACCTGGGTTTGATCCCTGCCATCCCATATGTTCCCCGAGTACCACCAGGAGTACTTCCTGAGTGCAGAGCCAGGAGTAACCCCTGAACATTGCCAGGTATGACCCCAAAAAGCCAAAATAAATAAATAAAAGTACATAAATAAAGCTCGTTGGCCACGAACAGTGAAATAGTTTTAGAGATCAATCAGCTGTCAAACAGCATCTCAGGAATAAAATGCAGATTGGCCCAAGATATAATCCAGTGGATAAGGTGCTTGCCTTGCACATGATAGATTTAGGTTCGATCCCCAGACCTTATATGGCCTCCCAAGCACTGCCAAGAGTGATGGAATGATACCTGAGTATAGAACCTGAAACCAGGAAAAACAAAACAAAGAACAGATGAAAATTTAAAATTAAAATTAATTTATTTGACATGGAGATGGAGATTTTATCTGGAAATTCCAGACACATTCTATTTTTTTTACATTTTTTTTTAGTTTTTTATTCCCTTTGGTCTCTTTTTAGTTTCTCTGTTTTACTCCTTTTACTCCTTAAATAGCTGTTTCTTTGGCCTTTGTATGTTTTCTGTGGGCAGTCTTCTATATGCCAAAACTGACTTCATCTCTTTCTACCATAGAGTTTTCCCCTGATTTTCAGTTCTACATTATTGACAGAAACTGGAAGTCATAACATCTCAAATGTGTTATCCCCTAAGTTGTCCAAGTGTCTCCTAAATTCTTGCTTCAGATTTCTTCTGGTAGTCCCTTCAAGGGTAGAGAACATTAGCCCATGGATTAAATAAGACCCGTGAAATGCCTGGTTTTACCTTGATACATAAATGGACAGACATGTCTGATTTTCATCAGCTGCCCATTTATTTTGTATGGCTGGCAATGAAATTGTAAATATCCAGATGACCCTTCAAGAAAAAAATTCTCTACTCCTGGCCACTCACCTCCCTCCCATTCTTTCCTTTCTTTTCTTTCTGGACCTGTTTAATTTATCCTCTTTGTCATTTCTATTCATCTCTGGTATTTCATCACCTTTATTGGTGGAGAGGAATCTGTAATTTTGCTAAAACATAAATAGATTTATAACCTTCCTTAAAACGATTCAGTTGTGTTCCACTCAACAAAATCAACAGATTCCAAGTTTACCTTGTGAATTAGTCTTTAACTGATCTTCCTGCCTCATCTGCTATTTTGTATCTGTGCCTCTTTTTCGAATTTATTTTTTGGGATATAAAAATAAATGATAAAGGTATATAATAATGCAACACAAGTCATATCAACAATATCCTTTTTCCTCCACTATTATCCCTGGGTTCACTCTCATCCCGTGGTCTGCCCCTTATTAGCAGGCATTTAATAAGTTTATTTTATATTCACTTGCTCTAAGGAATAGCAAAGAGAATTATCAAAATAAATCAATAAAAATCAATTTGTGGTGACTTATTTTATATATTTTTAACCTTCAGACAACCATATGCACCTTGAGTGAGTACCATTCTCAATGCCATATGTTTGGAAGTTTCTCCTTTCCTTTAAAAGAGCTCTTTTTTGTAACACTTCTTGCAAAATTCGTTTCAAGGCTATGAATTCCCTAAACTCTGCCCTGTCCTATATTAAAAATGAAGCTCTGTATTGTTCCTTCAAATTTGGATGATAATCTAGTTGGATAGAGTATTCTTGGTGAGATGTTTATTTTTTTTGAGTTTTGATACTATATCCTTTCATATTCCTCTGGCGTGTAGAGTCTTATTTTATCAAATGATACTCATTTTATTAAACCTGCTGTATGTCATCTGAACTTAACCTTTGTATGTAAGTTCCTTTTTTGGTCTTGCTGCTTTTGGCATTCTCGCTCTATCTCTGGATTTTGTCATTTTGAGTAAAATTTATTTTGGAGTTTCCCTAATTGAATCTATTTTCACTGAAACCCTTCCGTCCTCTTGGATCTTTGTGCCAGTAATCCTCAATTCTTGGAAGTTCTTGTAATGATCATTTCTTCATCACATCTGTCTTCCTGTTCTTCAGAGATTCTGGTGATTCTTATATAGTTTCTCTTGAATTAATCTCACAGTTCTCTGGTTTGCTGTTATTTTTTTAATTTTTTTTTATTTTTTTCCACCTTCTACTCTGACCTCTTTCCCATTTGGAGATCCATATCTTTTGCTCAACTTCTACTATTCTGCTGTTCAGAGTTTCTATTAACTTTTACATCACTATGGTTTTCATTTCTGTTATTTCTGACTCAGACTTTCTTGTGCTTTGCTAACTACCTGACCTATCATTTCTTTGAACTCACTGAATATTCTCATCATAGTGTCACTAAAACACTGTCTGAGGATTTACTTGTGTTGTTTGTGCCTTCTGTGATAATGTTTTTAGCTCATTGAGCTTGGTGAGCTTCTGTGTGTTTTTCTCTTTTTTGTTGTTGTTGTTCTTTCTGTGTCGAGGGTGAGTCTTTATAGTTAGAACCCCTAGAAGATGCCAAAGAAATAGGCTGAAGTTTATTTTCTCTTTTCCTCTACCCAACCTCACAGAATGACAGCAAGAATAATTGTAAGAAGCCGTGTGCTGGTGCAGGTCAGTTTGGATGTGGAGACTGCTGTTAAACCCATTTGGTAGTGAGAGATTCTGTCTTCCTTTCCAGAGTAGGCCCAGTGATATCAGCCAGGGGCAAGGCTCACCTGGCATAGTGCAGGAGCAAGCAAGTCAAATACTTGTGCCTTTCACTGTTTATGTAAAAAAGTGAAAATGTTCACTTTGAATATTCAGGGATTAATTTGACCACCTTTCCTTGTTTTCCTTTTGCCCATATGCCTAAAAACTGCTTACTTTTCAAGATCTCTCAGTGGATCTATCTCTAGAAAATTTCCTCTAACATTTCTGGTTACCTTCCATATTGCCTTTATAGTCTCACATTATGGTATGTATCACACTGCTTTGTGGTTGTCTATTGAAATACCATATTTCCTGCTGGCTTTGCACCTTGAAAGTAAGAGGTATATTTAATTTTGTGGCTATAGTTAAGCACACTATTTGATATATAAGCAATTATATTATCAAAATGGTGTGGTTATGAAACTCCTTATATTATGAATTCAAACAATTTAAAAGCTTAAGAAGCCATTTCAGCCTTTTTATGAGGCTCTTAATGCAACCAAAGCTCAGTATCATAGAATCTTATTTTTATGACAATGTTCATCATAATTGTGGTATCTTTTGGTGCCAACATGTCCATTCCAAACTTAAAAGAATATTATGAATGAACAAAATATGGTTAAATAGAATTAAGTATTCAACTTCTGTTTTATTTAGTGTAACATTACTTGTTAAAGAAGGTAGAATAATATTAGAACTTGGTTTACTTTTTAAGACATGGCAATAACTTTGAAAAAGAAATTGAAGAATAGAGTGCCAAAGTCAGTTTTCATTTCTGTTACAGTGTTTTTCAGAATATATTTAGAATAAAGAGAGGAGAGGCATTTTCCTTCACCTTTGACCCAGAAAAATTACTTTACTGAAATGATCTGTATTGAAACCCTTTTACAATGTAGGTGAAGAAAATTAACCTTTACTGTAATCCCGATTTCGATTCCTCGGCCCCTCTCGAAGAGTCTGGCAAGCTACTGAGAGTATTTCTCCCGCACAAAGAAGCCTGGCAAGCTACCCGTGACATATTCGATATGCCAAACACAGAAACAAATAACAATGGAGATTTTACTGGGTCCGCTTGAGCAAATCGATGAATGGGAGAACAGTGACAGTGACAGTGACTGTGATCCAGCCCTCCAGCTTTCCTTTCCCCCTCCCCTCCCCCCTTTTCTGCCTTCCTTCCCTTCCTTCCCCTTAAATCCCCTTCCATATCCTCCCCTCCTCTTCCCTTTCTTCCCTTCCCACCTTTCCTCCCCTCCCCTCCCCTATCCCCCCATCCCAATCCCCCTTCCCCTCCCCCTCCTCCTATTTCTGGTAGCATATATCAGGGTTTAGTAAAGTTAGTGCTCTTTGTTCATATGATCCACTGCAAGTAGTACTTTTTATTACACCAGACATTGCTTTTATAACACTGTGATCTCTCTTACCTCCTCACCGACACCAAAGGGAACCTTACGCTTTTTCTTTGCTATGAGATTTTATATTATTGTGAGCTATTAAAATTAGGTACTACAACACGTCAGTTGTTCTAATTTTCTAGTCTTCACTGGTTCTGTCATGATACACAAATACTATCAGGTGTCTTAATTTAAAAGCATGCCAATTTATTTAATCATTGAAGCTTTAATTTGTTAAATAGAATAGAGTTTCATAGATTTGTAATCTTAGTGGTTTTGTTGGACAAAATTTGAGGTTTAGAGATTAAAGGAAAAATTCATAAAATAAAATTTACCCATTTAGCTATGTGACTGACAATTCCTTTCAGTATACCTTTGCTTTCATATGAGTTCGCCTTTCTTTAAAATTAGTTTTGTGAAATTCCTTGGCCCTGTGGTGGTGATTTAGTTACAATACTCTTTTTTAATTCACACTACTTACAAAAATAATTTTATGCTTGCTATATAGAAGATAGTAGCCTGAATTAGCATTTTTTATTTCTCACTGGAGAGGAATCCCTAATATTTAATAGCCCCAACAGATTACTTTAATTATGCCAATTGTGTTTGGCAAAAAAGGGTAATTTTCTTGATATCTTTTTATCCTTTTAACTGCAAGAGTACCTTGTAGCTTGCATTTTGTTGTAGGTAAAATGAATGAACTGAATTATACCTACAGCAATAAATAGTTAATAACATCTTCTATCATTTCTGTTTATAGGTATTACCATTTAAAGAAAACTTTCTGCCAGCAAATCTATGATAAAAATTATAAGTAACAGAGAAAACTGTAACTGTTCTTTGTCAAGTGACAACCTTTTAATGTCAGAATGGCTCACATAAAGCGACTAATAAAATTACAACTTAAAAGATATTACCACAAGAAGTTTTGGAAACTTGGTGCAGTAATTTTTTTCTTTGTAATATTTTTGATTTTAATGCAAAGAGAAGTAAGTGTTCAATATTCCAAAGAGGAATCAAAGATGGAAAAAAACATGAAAAACAAAAACAAGATGTTTGATTTAATGATGGAAGCTGTAATCAATATTAAAGATGTGATGCCAAAAATGCAAATAGGAGCACCTGACAGACAAAAGATTGACACTGGCGAGAGACCCTGTTTGCAAGGATATTATACAGCAGCAGAATTGAAACCTGTTTTTGATCGCCCACCTCAGGATTCGAATGCTCCTGGTGCTTCTGGTAAAGCATTCAAGACCACCAATTTAAGTATTGAAGAGCAGAAGGAAAAAGAACGTGGAGAGGCAAAACACTGTTTTAATGCCTTTGCAAGTGACAGAATTTCTTTACACCGAGATCTTGGTCCAGACACTCGGCCTCCTGAGTATGTTAAAGAATATTCACTGTTTACTGTTTATCACATAAATGAAAATGCGGAATAGGCACTATAGCAAAAGAAGTTACTATTTAGCCAATTGTTGGCAAAACATACAAATTACTATTTAATATGTTTCAATTATTTTTTAATAGGGCCCCACTCAGTGGTTCTGGAGAAGGGAGGTCCCATTACTATGACCTAGGAGAGGAACTGCAGTGCTGGAAATATAGTATTGCCTCATATGTACTAGGCCTGTGCTCTCCCATTTGAGCTGTCTCCCAGGCTCAGTTTCCATTGCCCTGCTTGGTAAGGCATTGCAGATAAGAAAAGTTGCTATAACTTTGAAAACTAAATTCTGGATATGATTCCTGAAAAACCACAAAGAAATTATTTTTAAGTGCTTTAGTTTTCTCGTTTGGTAAGGAAGTAGTATTGGGCTGTATTTATGGGAACGGTGGGAGGTGTAGGAGTTGTTTCTGTTTCTCTGTGTATTGCTGTAGAATAGAAATGTTCAAAATGTGCCAAGATATTGAAGCAATTAGATAACAATATTTTATGATCTAAAATATTGTTATTTTAGATAACAAAGTAGACTTTGTTGCTGCTTTAAATGTTTTAATTTTTCAGATGTCCTTTTTTTTAACACTTCTTTTAAGTGACAGTATTGGTATTGTTATAACTACTAATATAACCACAATTCTTAAACTTAGCATTTGTTTAAAAGTTCTCATATATAAACTTGTGTCCCTGTCTCCCTTTATTTAATTATTGAGTTTATTTCTGAAGTTTACAGTAGTTTGACTAACATTCTCTCCCGCCCCCCCAATTCAGTGATGCTGTTTTTTGTCCTTCATAAACCATTTTGTGTCTTAAATTTTAATGTTCAAATTTTTTTTTATATTAAAATGGCTAAAATGTTTCCTTTTACTAGTAAGACTTTGTTAAAGGTACAAAATAGACAAATTCTAACTAAAGAGTGCCTATGCATTTTACTTTCTGATTGCAAATTACATTTGGAAGTAAGCATGAAGCCTTTGGCGGTTTAGATCATTTGTTTCACTTCTATTTTTCTAGATTTATTATCACAAAATCTTGCTCAGTCTCTCATTGTTTAACCCGTGTAGATTATATTCCTGTTGCTCTATATTAATTCAGGTGATCTGAGGTTAAGGTGTTCATTATGACTAAATGAATATATGAAGAAACAAATGAGTTCATAAAATAATCTAACTTAAAGAGGGTACATTATAGCTATTTTCTATATTAATAGGTTATAAAACCGTATCATATTTATATCACAAATTAAGAATCATGGTTTTCATTTGTTTCTGGTCTATATTCAGTTGTGCTCAGGAGTTACTCCTCAGTCTGGTGCTCAGAGAACACTGCTGGCAATCTCAGGAGACTCTGTGGGGTGCTGGGGATTTAACATAGATCAGCAGTGTACAAAGCAAATGCTTAACCCTTAAAAAATATATAAATATATCTTTTTATTCTTTTTTTTTTCCTTTTCGGGTCACACCCAGCAATGCACAGGGGTTACTCCTGGCTCATGCAACTCAGGAATTAATCCTGGCGGTGTTCGGTGTTCATTGGAACATATGTGATGCTGAAAATCGAATTGCGTTAACCGGCAAACACACTACCTGCTGTGCTATTGCTCCAGCCCCTATATTTTTATTCTTGACCTGATAATCAATGTTACTTCAAGACAAGATCCCTCACTGCTTTAATAAGCTACCATAATATTCAATATGTTCATAGTCAAATAAAAATTAATCACATTAAAAAACCTTTTTGTTTGTTTATGAATAGTAATAAATGCCTGTAATTCTAAGGCATTGGTGAAAATTTAAGACATTACGGGCCCTGCAGATTAAAGTAAAGTAGTTTAGTGGCTCAAGGCACTTGCCATACACATGGCTAACCCTGGTTTGATCCCAGACACTGCGTATGGTCCCTTCAGCATCATTAGGAGTAACCCCAGAGCAAAAAGACAGAAATAAGCCCTGAGCACGGCCAGATGTGGCCCCAAAACTAAACAAAAAATTAAAGTTGAACTAAATTTAACCTCTATCAGCAAAGAGCATATTTTCTGGAAAACTGCTGAATTTCTAAGTTTTTTAGACCTAGATATCCAATTTCTCCCCAGATCAAATAATCACATAAATAATAATGCAAACACATTTCTATGTGCCAAAAATTTAAAATAGATTGACTGTTAATGTGCAGTTACTTGGCAAGTTACTTTAATTTTACTATTTTAGGTGATATATGAGACAACTTCTAAAGTATTAACTTTAATGTTTTAATTGTTTAAATAAATTAAGTTACTATGGAATTTTATTATCACTTGCATTGATGATATAGAATGATTCTTTTACTGTCACTGTCACTGTCCTCCCGTTGTTCATCGATTTTCTCGACCGGGCCCAGAAACATTGTGAGACTTGTTACTGTGTTTGGCATATCGAATACGTCATGGGTAGCTTGCCAGGCTTTGCTGTTTGGGCTAGATACTCTTCATAGCTTTCCGGGCTCTCCAAGGGGGGTGGAGGAATTAAACTTGGGTCTGCAAGGCTGCATGCAAGGCAAATTCCCTACCCGCTGTGCTATCACTCCAGCCCTCTTATTAGTAATTAATTAGTTTAGCAAATAGATTTTTTTCCTCTATAGAGAGCCAAAGGGCTGGAGTGATAGAACATAGGGTAGAGCATTTGCGTTGCAAGCAGCCGATGCAGCCGACCCCAGTTCTCTTCTTCTGCCCCTCTCTGAGAGTCGGGCAAGCTACTGTGAATATTCCGCCTGCACACAAACACAGTATAACAGCTAGTCTCACAATGGAGACGACGCTGGTCCCGCTTGAGCAAATCGATGAACAACTGGAGGACAATGCTACAGTGCTATATAGAGTGAAAATCTTGCAAGATTAAATTAATGGATTTTTATTTGTGTGAATTTTGTGAAGTTTTATACTTTAAATTTTCAAAAAGTTTTGTGGTCATATCAATCATGTGGAAAATAAATATAGGAAAATTATTTTTAATCTCTAAGCTCTGTCTTCAAAATACTTAAAGGGCAGAAAAATTATAAGATTTCTTAAAAAGGAAAATGCTATAGTGTATAGAGTTTTTCTCTAAATTTTACTTATAGTTTGTTTATAAATTTTTATGTTTAAAATATGAGGTTATAGAGCCAGAGAGATAGTACAGCAGGTAAGACCTTGCAGATATTTGACCCAGGTTAGATTCCTTATACCGGATATGTAGTACCTGAGTACAGAACCAGAAGTAGCTCTGAACACAATCAGGTGTCGTCTCCAAATCAAAATACTATTATTGCTGCTGCTGCTGCTGCTGCTGCTACTGCTACTGCTACTACTACTACTACTACTACTACTACTACTACTACTACTGATACATTTAGTCATGGGGGGGAATGAGTCAAGAATATATGTGAATAGGTAGCTTGTCTTTGGTAATTTATTAGTAATTGGCAGTTTATTCAAAATTTAGTATAAATCATTTGCTTTCATCTCCAGTGAAGATAATGTGATTATTTACTTCTGACCACAAATGCATATTACTACACTTTTAAATGATGAAGTCACTAGAGAACAAAATCACTTTTACTTGGTGTACTTGGGAACCTTCCTCTCCTTTTCCTATTCAGCATGGTTTATACCATCACTTAATGTTTTATCCCTAGTCTATTTCCTGCTTTTTCTTTTTATTACAAATATGCTACCCCAAAGATATCTTCTCAGACTGATCTGAAACATTCATATTGAGGTATAACTATAAAAATCATGAATGCAAGATGGTAGAATTTCAGTTTTAGTGTAGCATTTCCAGGTCTTTGATACCTGACTGAGATCAGTAATTTTGCCATGGCCCCTGGCAAAGCTACTGAAGTGTGCTGGGCTCTTTTCTCCTTGATTCAGGGATTTATTTCCTCATCTTTGGTTTTGAACAGCGCTGTTTGATTATTTATACACTGTATTTATAGTGACTTTTGACTCTGTGTGAAGATTTCCTATGCTGTGGTCTAAAATTATACACCTATTTCTTCAAGTGAACTGAAGATGTAGTTATTTTGTCTTTACCACAGACAACACATGTTTTATATCTCAGACTTGCTGTTTGCTTTACAGTATTTTGAAGTCATTCTGTATATGTTATTTTGATTCTTACCCTAATTCATCAGGGCAGGCATTGTGATCATTTTCAGTCTCAAAGTCTGGCACGTATACAGACTGACCCCTATGGCTTCATATAAAGATTAATTTCACTGAAGGAAGAATTGTTATAAAAGTGAATTTAAGATTCTGATGTTTTTAGTTAATAGGTAAAAAAAATGACTTGGGCTGGGTCTTTCTTGTGTCTGTTTTTTCAGAGGGTGACAGAAACACTGAATGATCTAGAACTTTTAATTTTCATTTCTAAATAGGATTTCTTAAGAAGGAATTGAAAATGCTATGTCTTGTTAAACAGTAGATTAAATTATCAAAATAAAGTTTTTAAACTCAGCATGGCACACAGCATATTGGAGGTACTGAAGTTTTAACTAAATAATGAGCATCCTAAGAAATTATACTATAGAGCAAGTTACTTTATCTTTTTGGAACAAATATATATTAATTAAATTGTATAAATGGCAAATAAAAGCTTAGGAAATAATTTCTGTGAATACAGTATTCATTTAACAAAGCTGTCCTGTTTTTAAAATTGCGAATCATAAACAATTTCAAAGAGGAAGAAAAGCTTGGATTTGTTTGTAACTGTGCCATTTTTACAAGTTGTTTTTCACTTAGACAATGTTCGTATTTATAAAATGTATTTAAATTTTATTGACAGCTTATGTAATAGTATAGTTTTATAAGTGTGAAATAACGTAATAAAATTAATCATTGTTCTTCTATTTCTTTGACTTCTAGATGTATTGAACAAAAATTTAAGCGCTGTCCTCCCCTGCCTACTACCAGTGTCATAATAGTTTTTCATAATGAGGCGTGGTCCACCCTTCTTAGAACTGTCCACAGTGTGCTCTATTCTTCACCTGCTATACTGCTGAAGGAAATCATTTTGGTGGATGATGCTAGTGTAGATGGTAAGAAAGCAACTGAAAATTAGACTGTTACCTGAACAAACCGATGTGGTGTTGTCCAAAATCTATTTGGTTATGTTGTGCTCTCTGCTTGCCATTTTTGAGTTTGAGTATTTTATAGAGTCTGGCTGGTATGTATATGAGGGGTAAGAGTAGAATCCAAGAATATCTGTTTTTAAAAAGGCATGAAACACCATTCTTCATAACTTTGTAGTCTTCGCTGTGAGACAATTATTGTACGCCTAGTGCTTAAGAGCATAGACCTGAGTTTGGAGTCTGGCTGATTACATTGGCTTGAAGCCCCCTCTCATCCTAAACAGCAATGTAAATCAGGCTAGTTACTTAAATACCCACCCTCATGTCTTATCTTCTTTGTCTTTTAAATAGGCTAACTTTAGTATTTCATCAAAATTTGTTGTGTGGTACATCATTAGTTTTTATGCCACTAGAATAAAATCCCTCCAAAGATAGAATAGCATGTAATTGCTGATAAGAAATTTCCAGTTGTATAGTTAGAAATGAAGAGATATATACTCCTAGGCTGCATTTTTAAAGATTTGATGGTATTATAGAAATATATATTAATAATATGAGCACTTAAAATTACAACATGAGCCATTATGTTCTCTTTTATTTTGACTTTTTTAAATATCCAGGAATTATTTACAAATTCTTCAGTGCATTTCATATAAATCTGGATAAGTTAACTAATTCACACATTTTAAATTGAAACCACAAGGCCAATCTGAAGAATATCTAATCAGCTATATTTTCAAACATCACAAATATTTTTAAATACTAGACAGATACACAGTATTTCAGTGACTACAAAATTTACTCCTGAATGATTCCAAGTTTGGGGCCATTTCCTTAAGGTCAAATTCTAGCTCTCACACTAATTAGCTGTTTCCTAATCTGTTAAATGGTAGTAATCATCAAACCAAGAGAAGCATCTGTTGTAAGATAAAACATTACTTTACCACAAAAAAAGAAAAAATACTAAGTCAAACTAGATAGAAGATTTAAATATAATTCAAAATGGTAATAAGTGAATTGAGCCTAAAACTAGTAGTTTGATCTTTTTAATTATTTTTATAAACATCCTGATGGTTTCAGAATAAAATATTCTGACCAAATTTATTTTGTGTTTTGAAGCCAAATTAATATATAGACGGAATAACTTTGCTCATTAGCAGAGATTTTTGACCTGGGTTTGAACCTTATCCACTAAATGGGAATTTTAATAATTTTCAAGTTATACACTTCATACACATCTTTTATTTGGATCTTTATTTCTCTTATTCAGGTTACTTCATCACTTAATTATAATTAATGAATTTATTCTCAATGTGATCTGAAATTTTTAAAAAATTCTGTCATGAAATATTTCAAAGAATTTTAAGTGATACATGATTAAGTTTTGCAAACTTAGCTTATCTTAAAAAACAAAAAGAACCTTATCTTAGAATTTTTTTTCCATTTGATTTCTTTACTCTCCGCTGATTTTAATTTTGTTTGATCTGCAAAATAGCAGGGCAACAGATGCATGATAAGGCCTCCATTACTAAGCTTCCAGTTGAAGGTGGCTTCTATTATCTTGTTGCACAAATAAAATTAAAAGAAGTAATGGGAATCAAATGGAGGGAGGGTGATAGCAATAATCTTCTGTTTCATTAGTTTTAAAAATATTTTTCTTTTTTAATTACTATTTAAGTAAATATGTTGGAATTGACCATATTCATGAAGAAATCCAGATTTAAAATAATGACTTATTCACATAACATATTATAGCCTGTTTTTTCTAATCTGCAAAACTTTATTTTTTAATACCCCTGTTAGATGCATTTTACTTGAGCATATAACTTGATTCATCCTGTATTATGCAGTGAATGATCTTGTGCTTATTTAATTTTCTTCTATTTATTTTATTTATTTTTGGTTTTTAAACCATCTGCTGCAATGCTCATGGGCTGTTTCTGGGTTTTGTGCTCAGGAGTGACCTCTGACAGTGATCAGGAAATATTTGTGATGTGGGTATTCAAACTGGGGTTATTGGATGCAAGGCAAGTACATTAACCCGTGTATTCTCTCTGGGTCTGTTTTATTACTATTGAAGTCTGTTGTTGGATATGTTAGTATTAGGAATATTTAGTAAAGGAATCTGAAAATTTTTGTAACTATAGTAATCAATAATCAACAATAGATTTGAAATTTTCCTGGTGAGGTTAATTATCTTTGCATATACTAGTGTAATTTTTTCTACCGAATCAAAGAATTATCTAATAAGCACACACTGGGTGCTCATAAAACTTAATTTTTTATTGGCCACAACCAACTCAGGGCTTACTACTGGCTCAGAACTCAGTTATCATTCCTGGTGAGCTTTGAAGTTCATATGGGATGCCAGGGATTGAACCCAGGTCAGTTGCATGCATGGCAGATGCCTTACCCAGTATACTATCTCTCCAGCACCCCCCGTATCTGTTAGTTTATTTTGTTTTGGCGCCATACCTGGCAGTACTCAGACTCTGTGCTCAGGGATCAGCGAACCATATGGGAGTACCAGGAATTGAATTCTGATTGGCTGTGTGAAAGACAAATGCCCTAGCCACTGTGCTGTTGCTTTGGCCCCTAAATTGTATTATCTTACGAACCAGTTCACTGGGGACCAAAGGGAAAAATAATTTGCTCAAAGTTTCAGAACTGATGTAATGGTAAATTAAACAGATCTGACTTCATACCTTGTGACATCAACCTGACTCAATGAGGGATATGTTTGGATGCTAAATTACAGTGCAATCGAAATCTATAGGAAATTTTAGAATGATTGGTAAATCTGACTTTGTGTGTGTGTGTGTGTGTGTGTGTGTGTGTGTGTGCGCGTTTGGTGTGTGTGTGTGGTGGTGGTGGTGGTGGTAGTGGTAGTAATAATCTAACCCAGGGTGTGATATTTGCAAGGCAAGTGCACATCACTGAGATACATTTTCAGTCAAAATCAGAAATTTGCTAGCAAATTCAAATGATGGACGGTTTATTGAAAAATCTGATGAAACGTTTTCATTTTTATTTTATTTTTTGGTAAAATGTTTGAAAATAATTACTCCATGTTTGAAATGTTCATTGAAATGTTCCTACTCTATAAGTTTCTATTTTACCAGTCTCATTAAAGCAAAATTATCTGTGTGTACTTTTAAGACAAAATGCAATCCAGTGTATCTTTCAAAGAATTAATTGAGATACTAGGTGTTAGGAATAGTAATTTGTTACTCTGAGATTTCTATGTTTAGATTTGTTTTTCTATATAATTTGTTGCAGAACCTCTCATGTGAACCTCTTTTCTGAATGTTTAAACTTTAAACAATCAACATTTTATTTACACCTCTGGAGAATTGAAAACTGTTAGCCTAGATAAGTTATCTGCATTTGTTTCTGAAATCTGGCAGAAACAAATGTCTACACCAGGACCTTACCTGACATTTGTGTGTGTGTGTTGGTGTGGAGGGGCTCCCACAGTTCTCAAAGAAGCTAAGGGGCCCTTCCCTATGGTTCTTGGCTAACTAGCCCTGCATGCAGAGCAGGCGCTGCATAGGATGCAATGCTTCAGCCCTACAGTGCAGAGGATTATCTGGGCCACCCAGAGTTGCTTAGGGGAATCGTGTAGTGTCAGGAACCAAACTGGGGTCAGCTGTGGGCCTTACAGAACCTTAATCCCTGTACTGTCTGTCTGCTCCTCACTTAATTTTGACACTGAGTTCGAGAAGGCTGGTTGAATAACTTCATTATAGTCTTAATAAAGAATTAAGAATTTAATTATGAAAAAGAGGTGTTAAAAATAGATTTGTGTTTATCTTTCACCTATCTTAATTCTGACTTTTAGTGTACACTTTTAGTGAATTATTCAGATTGAGAAGTGTCTTAAATTATGCAGGCATTACTAAAAAAATTTCCTTATTTAAACTTCATTCTTGATTTTTATGTTCCTTCCATACATTTATTGGGAAAAAAACAGTGTCAGGAAATTCCAAACCTACTAAGATTTTATGCTCTTTATAGAGCTATTCCCAAGCTACTTGTCATCCAAGATATTTCTACCCTTTTTCAACATTGTGTTTGTCAGTTTTTTTGATTTCTGCCTAAATAGCAATAAAAATTCCCCTTGATGCTTGGTAATTTTACTTTAATCTCCAGACTTAAATGTCAACTTTATAAAAAGTGCTAAATATACTTTTGGCCATATTCAGTGATACTCTCATTTATTTCAATACCTAAGTTACATTTTTTTTAGATTTAAAATTTTAATTTTTTAAAATTTTTTTAAATGATTGGATCACCATGTGATACAGTTACAAAGCTTTCATGATTGAGTTTTAGTCATACAATGATCAGATACCCATCCCCCCCCCACCGGTATGCATTTTCCTGATTAACTTTTTTTTTTTTTAATTTTTATTAGTGAGACACCATGAGGTATAGTTGTAGACTTACAAATTTTTGTGCTTGGGTTTCAATTATACAATGATCAAATACCCATCCCTCCACCAGTGCCCATTTTCCACCACCATGGGTCCCAGTATCCCTCCCACCCCCCATTCCCGCCCCTCCCGTCCCACCCTGCCTCTGTGGCAGGGCATTCCCCTCTGTTCTCTCTCTCCTTTTGGGTGTTGTGGTTTGCAAAAGAAGCATTGAGTGGCAATCTTTTCAAACCTCTGAATAAGTCTTTTTGACTCCTAGATTTTATTCCATTTGAAGTTCCTCACTTCCCCACATTTACTATAATCATTGATATAGCACTTGTAGGGGGAGTATATGTTGTAATGTTCTCTGTTAGAGGTTAAATTGCATACATACCCTTTTGTTAACATACTTAACAGTTTTCGTCCTAATGACAGAATTTGTAGAGTTGTTAAGATTATAAGTGTGCAGAGTTCTTGGCTTTGTGTTTTTTTTTTATCTACTTTTGTATGTTCTATGAAAGTAAATTTAATAGTTAATATTTTTTTTCTTACAGAGTACTTACATGATAAACTAGAGGAATATATAAAACAATTTTCTATAGTAAAAATAGTCAGACAAAAAGAGAGAAAAGGTCTGATCACAGCACGGTTGCTAGGAGCTACAGTAGCAACTGCTGAAACACTCACATTTTTAGATGCTCACTGTAAGTATACATATATTGACATAGTTGTAACATTCTTTCACCCCCTCCCCACACTGAAACATACATACATTCTAAAAGGTAAGATAATGTTTTCCTTAAATGCGTAATTGCATTTTCTTTACCATTTTCAGTTGATGGTCATAAAAGGGACAGGTCAATCAGAGAGAATTGCCTGCATGTACACAGTTCTTACCACCTTTTTGTTTAAGATTCCTCAACTTGAAAGACATCCAGTGATCATCTTCCTCAACAAGTTATCCTTGCCTAGATATTTTTCAGATATTCATTCTGTCCAAAAAAAATGTTTTGCTACAGTTGATTCCTACATTGTTTTTGTTTTGGACACAATAGGGCAGTGCTCAGGGTCTTTCCTAGCTTTGGCTCAGGAGCTACTCTTAATGGTATTTTGGGGATCACATGCCATTCTAGGGATCAAACTCCAGCCTCCTGCATGTAAAGCCTGTGTGCCCAGCCCACTAAGTTATCTCTCTTGCCCTAATTTCTACATTTTAAAATGAAAATTTTGTTGTTTTGACTTGTCCATCTTAAAGGGAAATGTTATCTGAAATTTTAATACATTAATGACATTTTACTCAATTTTTTAATTAAAAAATATTGTCACGTGTATGAAAATTTTCCTCTTTTTTCTTTTCTTTCTTTTTTTTGGCTTTTTGAGTCACAATGTTAAGTGGTTACTCCTGGCTCTACACTCAGGAATTACTCCTGGCAGTGCTCTGGGGACCCTATGGATGCTGGGGATTAAAAAAAAAAAAACTGGGTCAGCTGTGTGCAAGGTCAATGCCCTACCCACTGTACTATTGCTCTGGTCCCTTGAAGATTTTCTTATCAATGATGAAATCTGTTTTATTTTTTTGTCCTTTCTTATTACAAGAGACTTTTTTTGGTGAGGCTCAGTGGCGAGCTAGGGAGGAGGAGAAATGTCACACCTGGCTTACTCCTGACCGTGCTTAGGGATCACTCCTGGTAGGACTTAGAGAGATGAAAGCATGAGAGTTACTTCTTGCATTATCTTTCCAGCTGTATAAACTGTATTCTATATCATCACAAGAAACTTTTAAGAAATCTCATCTACAAAAATATACAAAACACAAATGACTGTTATTTTCATTTCTCTGTAAAATCTTCCAAAAAGCCGTCAGTGTTTTCATTTGATTAACTCAGAATCCTATTCCTTTTAGGTGAGTGTTTCTATGGTTGGTTAGAACCTTTGTTGGCCAGAATAGCTGAGAACTACACTGCTGTCGTGAGTCCAGATATTGCATCCATAGATATGAACACGTTTGAATTCAGCAAACCTTCTCCTTATGGAAGTAACCATAACCGTGGAAATTTTGACTGGAGTCTTTCATTCGGCTGGGAATCACTTCCTGATCATGAGAAACAAAGAAGAAAAGATGAAACCTACCCAATTAAGTAAGATGATTGCTCTAAAGTCTTACGTTCAGTTCATTTATTTAATGGTGTATGTAACCTTTGATTTTTTTTATAGTTCTTTCCTTCATAGTGCTTTGCACTTACAAATAGAGCACAGTTATTCTGTACATAGAGAGTAAAAATGTTATTTGTTTATTTACTTGCATGTGATGTCACCAAGTAGGAAGTAAAATTAAATAGACCTTTATATGTTTAATCATTACTAGAGAATCTTTAACCTTGGTACAAAGAGCCTTAGTAATTTTGCTCTACAGAGAAAAGACACTTTAGGTGCTATTTTTACCTTCAAAGACAAAACAAAAAAATGCTTTATGTTTTGTTTGTTTTACAAAGTTACTGCACCTTTATCACCCAAAGAACCCATGATTCTTTACCACTGTCCTTTAAAAAAATGTTTTGAATTAAAATATTTTGATTTGGGGCTATATCTAGTAGTGCTCATGATTTATTCCTGGCTCTTTGTTCAACAATCATTTTGGATGGGGCTATGAGGCCGTAACAGGTGCTGGAGTAAAGGAAGCACTTTACTTGCTATACTATTTCTCTGGCCCAAATTTTTAATGTTTTTGTAATTTATACATACACTATTTTTTAAGTATTATCTATACTATTGTTTTATAGTTGCAGTGCTGCTATACTATGCCACCACCAGAGTGCCAGGATGCCTCTGTTATTCCAAGACTCCTTTCTACCCCACAACCCCTGGCTCCCTCGGGTCACCATTCTATTTACTGTACCTCAGTTTTGTTTCAGAAATGACTTTGACGTTAGCATTTTTAGTTGTTATTACTATGTGGAAGCTTTGTGATTGTGATCTCTCTTTAATTTGTGAATTTGATTCACATGCTCTTTTATTTGATGATTATAACAGAGTTTGACAATGATTGAATTGTTTTTCAGAACACCCACTTTTGCAGGAGGCCTTTTTTCCATATCAAAGGAATATTTTGAATACATTGGAACTTATGATGAAGAAATGGAAATTTGGGGAGGAGAAAACATAGAAATGTCTTTCAGAGTAAGTTTATGAAGATTATATATAATATACATATTAAGCAGTAAAATATGTTGTGTCCCAATTGGCAGGCACATACAGATTATTGGAAATATGTAAAGTCAGTTTTAGCATTTCTCATCTCCCAAGATCTTTCAGATATCCCAAGGTGGTTATAGGTGAAAATCACATAAATGGGATGCCATAGCATAAGGTCCGAGGGCCAACCATTTCCTTTCTGTGCCAACTTGGTGTGGGCACAGGCAGGAAACAAGTTTGCAGTGGACCACAATTGGGGAAAAAATTGAGAAATACTGATCTATTTTGGGGAATTTCTAAAACTAAATGATGACACTTTTGGAATATTTAAAATATACTTATAATAATTTTTAAAAGATAACTTGTTTTATACTTGTTACTGCCAACTTAATTAGAAGTATAAGCTAACTAACTGTAATAAGGCAGTAACACAGTTAATGCATTTGTAGCTACTGAATTCTAGGCCAAGTAAATACAATTAAATCTAGTGCACCAGGAAATGAGTTGATTATCAAAGGAATCAGAATAGAAAAACATTTATGTATAATTTTAAAGGATTTAGATTTATTGCTCTGGATTATATAAGATTTATATTCCTCCTCCCATTATAAATATTAAAGGTTAATATAACAAACAAAAAACTTTAGTCAGTTTTTCTCATGTTGTTGTCTGATTTAATCTTGTGAGTTCATTTTCCTCAGTGACATTTTCATTCCTTTTTATTATTCCCCAAAATCAGAAATGACAAAGCAGAGAAAGAATTATGATAGGAGTTTGAAGGTTTACGTTTTGGCTCTGGTACCATCACATAAAGGCAGTAATGATCTTACGATTTTTGAAATGCTTAATGAGAGAAATATTACTTATTTTGAAATTTCTAACCTCTACCACATAAGTCTCAAGCTTAGTTTGTTGAATTTAATACATCACTGAGATTTCTCATTTGTTAAAAAAAAGTGACAAACAAGATCACTTGTTCTTATTTAGTATATATTAGTAAACATACTTTTATTTTAGACTTTTTGTGTTGTAATTATTTATGGTAGATGACCAGCTTCTTTAAGTGAAAAGGTACTGATTTAATTATCATTTTAGTTAATGCAAGCATTTTATATTGAGGTATAATCTATATATAACATTTAATCTCACATTACAGTAATGATTTGGTATTTGTATGAAGTATTACATGATTATCACAGTAAATCTTATTAATATCTATTTCTGAATCTAGCTACAACATTTATTTTCTTGTGAGGAGGACCAGTAAATTTTTTTTTTATTTTGGCTTTCTAAATAGCTTTGTATTTTTTATAATAACCAAGTACTTTACAAATTTAATAATTGCAATTTTGGCAATAAAGACTATTTGGAATTGTTTTCTTAATGACAAATATTTAATAAATATTTAAGGGGTAAAGAGAGTCTGAGTCCACTTAAACCAAGACTGTTAGTTTATTCCACAGAAGAGGGACCTTGTAATTCAAATGAAGTAACCATGGAGGTTACTTGAAAGTTGTACAAAAAGATGGAAGTAAAAAGATCTCTTATTCTTCTACATATATTAGATTGCATGATTATTTGCACAAGAAAATAAATTTCATAATTCGCTTTCATGAAAGATCTGAAATAACTAGTTTGTTAAATCACCTCCTGACTATATTTTTGCTATCTTTAGATTTTGTACCACTTAAAAAAACCATTATTTATATTTAAGAACTTGAACTGTCAAGAAATAAGTTACTAAAATTATAGTAGGTCTCTTTTCTAAAAATTTCATTCTTATTAGTATATTAAAAGTAAACTTAACAACACTTTGATTTCCCTAAAATATACAAATATCATTAATTATCAGGTATGGCAATGTGGTGGGCAGTTGGAGATTATGCCTTGCTCTGTTGTTGGACATGTTTTTCGCAGCAAAAGCCCTCATACCTTTCCAAAAGGCACTCAGGTGATTGCTCGCAACCAAGTTCGACTTGCAGAAGTCTGGATGGATGAATATAAGGAAATATTCTATAGGAGAAACACAGATGCATCAAAAATTGTTAAAGAAGTAAGTTGGAGCTAAATAATTAAATTGCAGTAGGAGTTTAGCACATTAAATTTACATATCCTTTTACCAATTAATCAGAAAAATTTTTAAAAAGGTATTCTGAATCTGGTTTATTTTATTTTAATTTGTTTGCATGTCTGATTAAATAGCATAAAAAATTTTAAAAATATTTAATGTTTTGATGCCAACTTTTTTATTTTTAAAGGAAAAAATCCTTGAAAGTGCTTTTAAAAACTCAGGCATTCTTATTTAATTTGTTATTTTTAAATATGGTAGATACTTTGGTTTAGCCACTACATTTATTTAATAGTGTGCTTAAAGCAAATAAAGTAAGTAGAATTTTAACAGATTTTATTCAATGTATTAACACCTCAAAATACTAAGTCACTTTTTGAGCTGAAAAATATAGTGTCAGAATGTGGTAGGAGAATAAACTGGAAGTATCCAGATTCTGTTTTCCCCCATCCTCAAGTTCTGGTTCTACTCTTTGGAGGGGTTACCTTGGCAAAGACTCTGACCCTGTAAGATGAGAATGATACCTCCCAGGGTAGTTCAGAGGTTGTCTGGAGATGGGATATATACTCAGCTAAGATTCTTCTTTCTCCTTATCTGTCTGGAGAGATGAAATACTCTTATCCATCTTCTAGTAGCTATAAAACAGAATAGTGAATGCTAAGAAATAAATGGTAACTGTTGTTACTATTGACTTCTCATAGATAAAAATTTCTTAGAGCCATGTTGCCTAAGTTAAAACTAATTTAATTTCTACAGTTAAATATTGTGTTTGGTACATGAAGCAGGTATTAGTTGTTTTTTTTTTTCTTCTTGTTTTTGAAGCAGTTTTTTTTCTTTTTTTGTTTCTTATTTTTTTTCAGGGGGAGGGAAGGATGGACGTGGTGATTCCCTAGTTAGTGGTGCTAAGAGGTTACTCTTGGCCCTGGTGCTGGGTTGTTAGGCATCCAAGCATATTTTGTGGTAGATTCAACCAAGCAAAGCACAAACTCACCTCTTGAGCTATCTTCCTGGCAGTAGTGTAAAGGCATGCTTGAGTGAATGAGACCTAGATGTTTGTAAGAAAAGTGTTAATTTGTGGAGATTTTACTAGAATTAAATGACTTTAATAGTTTTACTGTCTTAAAGATGATTACCATTTTTCTTTAGTCTCTAGTCTCTCTAACATGTCAGTAAGGGCAACATCAGATCACTTCCAGATCACTGCTAGGTTAGATCACTGATCTTTTTATTGATCACAAGACAAACTGGGCAGATTGTACCCTGTGCATGAGTACTTGGCTAGAGTCAACTACTTGGCTAAGCACAGTTTATGCTCTTGTCACCTACAAAGACATAAATTGACCAAAAAACGTGATTTTTTTCTACAAAGCAAGTAGTTTCACTTAATAATATGCATAAGCTGGTCTAATGTCATATGGAATATTTTTCTATTTTTGGCTAAAACATCTGGGTTCAAGAGACTGAAACTAGCATTAGCAAATACTTTTTTTATTTACTTGAAATGGATAGACTTGAGTGTCTAACTTCTCATGTATTTAGTATCAAACATGATTTTTCTCTAAAATGTTCCTAATAGATCAAATTTTCTAGTGCTTGTGAACCAAATTGTTTTCTTAGTTCCTTTAATAAAGGAAAATGAAATGCACAATTCAAAATTTTCTCTTCTCCTTTTATGTTATTACTGTTAGGATATTGTTAGTAGTTAGAAACATCATTAACTAAAACTGGAAAAAGTTATTTGCAGCTATGATTGTGGAAGAGTGAGAGTGGGGAAGAAATGAGGTTGGTAAGAGAGGGATAAGAGATGAACTGTTTGAAGTGTTGGCAGTGTTTTATTTTTTTAATTTTTCTTTAGCACGGATTTATAAAGTTGTTCACGATAAGTTTTAGGCATATCATGTCCCCACCTCTGTAACCACATCCATCCATCAGTCACCCCATGTTGCCTCCCATCCTCAAACCTCCAAACTTGACAGATGTATTTTTAATTATTGTAATTTAGTTCCCCTTCTTTCAGTAGTGCTGTGAGGTATAGAGGCTGTGAGTGTGTGTGTGTGTGTGTGTGTGTGTGTGTGTGTGTGTGTGCGTGCATGTGCGTGTGTGAGTGTGTGCGTGCATGTGCGTGTGTGCATGTGCGTGCGTGCATATGTGTGTGTGTGTTGCCTCTATACTACAGACAAGACCAAGGCCCCTGGTCCTTGCCCCTCTGTTACTTCCAAACCTTCTCTTATTTCTCTCATCAAGGGTCTTGTTTCTATGCCTGCTTTCTCAACAGTTCACTTAATGGATCCCTTTCGAATATAATGGATCCCGTTTGGACTTTCCCATTTTCATTTCTTTTCCCACAGCATTTCTGTAGTGATCATTGTCACACAGGAGAGGTTTGTCATACAAAGGAAGAGTAAAATAGCACTATGTTAGTATCACAGTTGGAACTTGATTCTCTTTGAAGCCAGATTGTGTAGGAAGGCATGCTGTTGCCTGAATGAATGATGAATGCAGTTAAATTGTATCTTGTATTTTAGTCCAGAATTTTTTTAATTAAGACCAAATATAAATAAAAATAGCATTTGAAGTACTTTATCAGTGATATTTTGACTATCATTTTTTTCACTGCTCATCTTTTACCAGAAGTCCTTTGGTGATCTTTCAAAACGATTTGAAATAAAGCATCGCCTTCAATGTAAAAATTTTACATGGTATCTGAAAAATATTTACCCAGAAGTGTATGTGCCAGACCTTAATCCTGTAATATCTGGATATGTGAGTATTTTTCTGTTTCTCTTTACTTGTATACTCTTTGACACCAACAATTATGTGGTTCAGGAAAAATTATTAAAATATTTTGTGGTTCATTGTTTTTGAGAATTTACACTATTATTAATCATATTACTTTTTAAAATTCAATAATAACATATAAACCACGTAGATTTTTTTAAAAAAATTATAGCTTGAAATTTTTTTTTTTTAGATTAAAAGTGTCAATCAGCCTCTATGTTTGGATGTTGGTGAAAATAATCAAGGAGGCAAACCTTTAATTTTATATACGTGTCATGGACTTGGAGGAAACCAGGTGAGTACTGTATTATTAATTTTCACTGCTCATTAGCATTTACCAACCCAAGTAAATTGTTGCAAATATGGGGGAGTACAAAATCAATTTTATACACAGGCAAACTAAAATTTTTTACGATTAAGTCTAGTAATTAACATTTAATTGTAATATTGTAATAGTCTTTATTGTTTATAGTATATTTTTGTTTATAGTCTTTATTGTAATAGTCTTATTTCTGAAATCAATTGAAGGTTTTTTAAGAAAATAATAGAGTAATGCTATATGAAATTTTTTAAATGCATTCTACTTTGGTTCTTAAACATTGTATAACTATTGACATCGTGAGTTTGCATCTTTAACCATAAAGGCTGTATTAATAAGGGTTTAAAAGTAAATATATTAAGCATTGATACTAAATGGGCAGTGTTAGAACATATTTTTGTTCAGTTATGATATTTTAAGATATTCCCCCAAAAGTTTTCTGCTTGATTCTCTGTGACTGATGACATTTCAGCTTGTTACTACTCTTTGACTATTTTATCAATTAGAACTCAAATGTCAAATATCACTGTTTGGCCTACTATGAATAGCAAACATATTGAAATATTGTTTCTAATTTTTAGCATCCTTGTCTTACTTTTTTACAACTCCTGGTAGTATTAGACTCTGATTTGTTCATTTTGTTTCACTGATTGACCCTTACATGCCAGTTACTCTATTTTAAGATCAAACTATTGATTTTAAATGCTTCATGAATTCTGTGTTCCAAATCAGCAGTTAGTGGCAGTATGATAAGATGTGAGATAAAGAATCCAAAGTGGTCTGGGTTTAAGGGAGTTAACCTCTGAATTAGACTGGGTGCCCGTGAAATTTCCTGGGAAAAGGTTGTGAAAGTAAGTGGAAACTAGAGAGGTTCACACCTGGAATAGAGTATGATGAACATTGCATTCAGGAAATGAGCTGTTATGTCTTTTCTGGGAATCACAATTATTTGGGGTATAGAGTCCAGGATGTTTGTGGAGAATTTTTACAATTGTAAATTCTCTTGAATTTCCTTTTTCAATAGAATGAGACTTTGATGATGTCAGTTTTAAGAAGGAAAATTCAGTTTATCGCCTAATCTATCCTCTTCTATGTTTCTTCCTACTCTTTAACCTCAGCTGTATCTAGTTCCAGTCTTGACTCATCTAAAATCAGTCTGTCTGCAGGTAGATGACATTGATGTTCCAAAGTTGAACAGTATCAACTGCTGGGATGATTAATTTATAATCCTGAGACTGAGTGGGGGTACACACATCCTACTTATACTCACAATATACCTATATACATATATATATGGTTATATTTACACAAACATACATAAATGCACACTTTAAAGAATTTCTTTTTCTTCTATATATTAGAAGAAAAAGTTAATTGCATTCCTTTGGAAATCTTATTCTCTTTAAGAGTAATTGTATTCTTAGGGACATTCTTTCGGAAATCTCTACTGAATAATGCTGGTAAAAATTAATATATTAAGTAAAAATGTTTTTTTATTTGTAAAAATAATCACTAAATCAAAATACTTATAAATTGTTCTTCATTTTCTCTAGTATTGTACTAATTTTATTATAAAAATTCAAGTATGTTTTGTGTAGTATTTTTCCCAATTTTTCTGTTATTGCTAGATTAATGTTTTTATAGGCATGTCTCTAAACTTTTAAAATTTAAATAAAATATTAAATTTTTAATTTAAATAAAATTTAAATAAAATCAAATTTCTTTTGGAAGTTTGGGGATGGAGACATGACTCACATGTCATTTCAGCAAATACTTGTTTAGAACCTATGATGTAACATTCATCGTTATAATGGTAAAAAAAAGGTATTGTGAAAAATAAATATGTAATTCTGAATAGAAAGAAATATCAAGCCGAGTTGGGAGATAATGTCTATGGATGGGGTACTTATCTTCAGAGTTTTAGGAAAATATCTTGTCTCACTCCTTCAGATCTCCACTCTTAGGAAAATAATTTTTCCAGGAGGAGAGCATCCTTGAAGGGGGAATGGCAAGATTAGAAGTCTAGGGGCAGGTATGGAGCAAGTAAAAGGAATGTGATTGGAGCAGATTGGTCCAGGAAAAAGAGGGGTGGAAATAAGATCAGAGCTAGTCCTGTGAAGTTCTGTAGGAACTAAGAGAAATACCTGAAGGTGACATAGCCCTGTAGAAGTGGAGGGGAAGAGGTAAAACGTGAGAATAATTGTTCTCTGATCTTTATTTTTATTTTATTTTGGGGCCACAGCTGGTGGTCGTCAGGGTTTATTTCTGACTTCTCTGCTCAGAGGTTGCCCTTGGCAGTGTTCAAGTACCATGAAGTACCAGGGATTGAACTTGGGCCTCATAGATGCAAAACATGTGCCCCAGCTCTCACTGTTAAATTGGTTTTGGCGCCACATCTGGCAGTGCTGAGGAGATTCTCCTGGCTTAGTGCTTGGGTTCATTCCTGGCTGTGGTCAGAAAATCATATTTGGTCCATAATAGCAGCCAGCCTCCTGCATACAGGGCATGCTCCGGCCCATTAACCTATCCTTGATTCCACAGGTTTATATTTTATGATGAATCTGTCCTCTAATTCCCTGACAGAGTCCTTGACTTACATTTTATTTCCATTAAGTTTTATTTCAATTAATCATTTGATTTACAACATCTAGCATTTTATTTCCTCAAGTGCTGAATATTTTTATGATGTCATCTACCTTTATCATTTCTTTGCATTCCTTTCTATTATTTTGGTCAGATAATTTGTAACATGAAAGTCCAATATGGTAGGAAATTTATATACCCGGTTTAAAAAAGAAGTATTTTGATGATATCACTACATTGACTGAGAAACTTGAGCATTGCAGTTCAAGTCATTATGTCTTGGAGACAATGCTTTGCTGTTTCAGTTTTCTCTTCCAAGGCATTTGCTCTTGTTATAATTCTCCAATGTTCCCAGCTATTTTTTTTAATTTAAAAAAATTTTTTAAATTTATTTTTTATTAGTGAAACACCATGAGGTACAGTTGTAGATTTACAAATTTTTGTGCTTGGATTTCAGTCATACCATGATCAAATACCCATCCCTCCACCAGAGCCCATTTTCCAACACCATGGATAATATCCCGCCCCCCCATCCCCCCCATCCCACCCTGCCACTGTGACAGGGCATTCCCTTTTGTTCTCTCTCTCCTTTTGGGTGTTATGATCAGCAAAAGAGGCATTGAGTGGCAAACATGTTCAGTCCAGTCTACTTTCAACCTGCATCTCCCCTCCTGGGAGGATCCTCCAAACACCCTCCATTTGGTGGTCCCTTCTCTATCTGAACTGTACTTTCCCCTAGAATACCCGGCTGGCCTCTAAGCTATGGAGTAATCCTCCTGGTGTTGATCTCAGCTATTCTTGGGTATTAATCTCATATTTTGTTATTTTATATCCCCCAGATGAATGCAATCTTTCTATGTCTATCCCTCTCTTTCTGACTCATTTCGCTTAGCATGATACTTTCCATATTGTACCACTTGTATGTAAATTTCATGACTTCATTTTTTCTAAGAGTTACATAGTACTCCATTGTGTAGATGGACCAAAGTTTCTTTAACCAGTCATCTGTTCTTGGGCACTCAGGTTTCTTCCAGTTTCTGGCTACTGTAAAGAGTGCTGCAATGAACAAACAAGTGCATATGTCACTTCGACTACACATTTTTGCCTCTCTGGGATATATTCCCAGTAGCGGTATCGCTGGGTCAAATGGGAGCTCAATTTCTAATTTTTTGAGGAACGTCCATACTGTTTTTCAAAAGGGCTGAACCAGTCGGCATTACCACCAACAGTGAAGGAGTGTCCCTTTCTCGCCACATCCGTGCCAGCAACGGTTGCTTTTGTTCTTTTGAATGTGGGCCAGTCTCTGAGGTGTGAGATGGTATCTCATTGTGGTTTTGATCTGCATCTCCCTGATGATTAATGATGTAGAGCATTTTCTCATGTCCTTTTTTGCCATTCGGATTTCTTCTTTGAGAAAGTTTCTGTTCATTTCATTGCCCCATTTTTGGATGGGGTTGGATGTTTTCTTCTTGTGGAGTTCAACCAGTATTTTGTATATCCTTGATTTCAACCCCTTGTCAGATGTGTATTTGGCGAATATTCTTTCCCATTCTGTAGACTGTCTTTGTATTTTGGTCACTGTTTCTTTGGAGGTGCAGAAGCTTCTTAGTTTAAGATAGTCCCATTTATCTATCTCTGTTTTCACTTGCTCGGCCAGTGGCATGGCATCTTTGAAAATACCATTAGCCTCAATGTCATAGATGGTTTTGCCAACTTTGTCTTCAATGTACCTTATGGTTTCTGGTCTGATGTTGAGGTCTTTAATCCATTTTGATCTTACCTTTGTACATGGTGTTAGGCAGAGTTCTGAGCCCATTTTTTTGCATGTAGCCATCCAGTGATGCCAGCACAATTTGTTAAAGAGGCTTTCCTTACTCCACTTCACATTTCTTGTACCTTTATCAAAGATTAGATGATCATATGATTGAGGGGAGATGTCACTGTATTCAACTCTGTTCCATTGGTCTGCAGTTCTGCCTTTGTTCCAGTACCATGCTGTTTTGATTATTACCGCTTTGTAGTAAAGTTTGAAGTTCGGGAGGTTGATTCCTCCCATTTTCTTTTTCCCAAGAATTGCTTTAGCTATTCGTGGGGGATTATTGTTCCATATAAATTTCAGGAGTGTTTGCTCCATTTCTTTGAAGAATGTCATGGGTTTCCTTATAGGGATTGCATTGAATTTATACAATGCTTTCGGTAGTATTGCCATTTTGACAATGTTAAGTCTCCCGACCCATGAGCAGGGGATATCTTTCCATTTCCTCATGTCCTCTTTTATTTCCTGAAGTAGCATTTTCTAGTTTTCTTTGTACAGATACTTTACTTCCTTAGTTAAGCTGATTCCTAGGTACTTGATTTTCTGGGGCACAATTGTGAACGGGATTGATTTTTTC